ACTCATTATATGTATACTTATTACGGAAAGATTAAAATCAGTGGCGGATACAAGGAAGAAGGGGGGGGGGCGGAGGGAGCATGAAGATTTATGTCGTAACCATCATTTAGAAATTGGGGATTCGATGCGCATGCTTTAGTTCGTTTGTGCACTGAACACGAATGTTCGCTATTTATTATTCGCTCGAACATTTATAAGGTCTCGTTCATTGTAACGTCTGTTGTGGACCCCGCGTGTAACCGGCCCGACCGCTCATTGTCGCGTCCTGCTTCTCTACAAGCACAAAATTCGCGCGTGCCCGCGGCTTGCTGGCCGCAGACAATGGCGACAATGACCGCTGGGTGGACCATTTAGCTTACAGGCGACCTGAGAATAGTGACCAGTTGGACTACGGAAAACGGGTGTCCTTTCCACAGCTCAAGGTGCGACCTTTTAGGCGTCGAATTGCATTGCTTGCAGACGTTGATCTCTCTGTCAATCGACATATTGTTGTTAAATATAGAAATGGTCGTGATATTTGATTCATCAAAGCTTGGATTCGTAAATTTTACGTGCATAATTTTATATATTTGTACCGTAGATCTTTGAAATTTGTATTTTTATAAATGTTTAGAAATTCTACTTATCTAGCTTTAAAATCATTATTTTTAAATTGATCTAATTAGAAATTGAAATTGAAATTTCATTTAGAATATTAGAATTTATGTGATTATTTTTCTTTTATAAGTATTTCCTTTATTTAGTTTTAAGATGCTTGAAAGATCTTTTAAAAATCTTTTATGTGACAAATAATCTATTCACTTTACTCAATCTCATTCAAGCTTAGAGTTTTCGAGAATTCAACTCAACATGAATTTATGTTTCTGATTTCCTGTGTCTGTGTTATGGCTTGAGACTGAAAGCGTAAAGAGCGACGCAAATTCAGCAAAAGCCCTTTCAACCAAAAGTGCAAGGATTTTATCCAGAGACAAAACTGTAAAGTACCAGGGGCTCTCTTGAATCTGACCGCCACTTTCAATTTGGAAGCTGCTTTACGGTTTACCTCTCGCAAACCACTTTCGTCTGTGGAAGAGAATAATACCGAAAATAATAGAGAGAATTTCAAATGTCCAAGCATATTTCGAGCGTTCTACTTTGTGGTGGCAAATACGTATTGTATAATAAAAGAATGATCTCGGTATTAATGGAAGTAAATAAACATTTTTGTCTACTTGTTTTGAGATGAATATATGATATGTGCAAAAATGATAACGTAGTTTATAAAACATTATGTTATATGCAAAAAGTTATAACAATCAGTTCATTTTTTATTTTGTTCAGTATAGAAGCTTTAAATAATACATCTCTGGAAATTGGAACGCGAATCTATCGCGAGGTGAACGTTGTATATTAAATAATGATTGTTAAATACATTACCGCTCATTAATTTCAATACACCTCCAGATTCGTTGATTTCTTTGTAAAGAATGAACGTGATACGTATGTTTAACATACAGTTTGTAAACAATGTGTATGAGTACAAAACATGTTTATTTGCCTATATAAATCTATTATATATTCATCACAAACGAGCTTCTTTTGTTCATTACTTTCCGAAAAATCAACGATTTGAGTAGTGTATTAAAATTAATGATATTATAGTGTATGTGCTGACGAATTATTATAGTTTCAAAACGGCATCGGACGCGCATCTGATATCGTGACCTTGCGTGAGTATATTTTGTTTATTTCCAGAAATCAGATGTTGTCCGGCTCTTAGTTCTGTTTCTTCAAAACTACAATTTTCAAGAATTTTTATATAAATAAATATAAAGTGCATGCAAGCGCTGAAAGTATTTATCACAACAGGTGGACTCATTTTTGTGCAAAACATATGTATCACGTTCATTCTTTACAGAGAACTCAACAAATCTGGGAATGTGTACTGAAATTAATGAGCGGTAGTGTAATAATTATTACATAATGATTATTATTAAATAATAATTATTTAGTAATGATTTTCTTCCCTTTATTTTGTATTATACTTCCTTAGTTGATTTTGTGTTCAACACATCGTTACGCATTTCTACTCGCTGCAATGGCGCAGTTTGGATAGAATGTCATTCCTCTCTCGAGAAGTTATTTTTCAATGATTCGCGTCTTGCAATAGAATTTAAATATACAGTCGCAATGTGACAGGATCTCAAGGAGTTATCTAGCAGTGCATCCTATGCACGAGCGCCACGGCGTCGACAGCTCACTTCGTCGACGTGTTTTTCTGCATTCCGTAGCGTTGGTCGGTTTCCTCTGTAAACACTCTGCTTAATCGCGTCGTGGAATAAGGCGACAATGATGGCGCGGGTCAAGCGAGACGCAACCGCTGTTTTCGCGGATTCCATCATCGGGACACCAGGGCATCGCATCAGGAATTTCTAATCGGAGAGCGACGGTTTCCGTCTACGTTGTAACAAAACCGGTTTCTCTTTATGATGGGATATCTATGGTTTCTTTCTCTCCCTCTTGGTCAGCTAAGAGTTCGTTTTTCCCACCTTTGCGTCGTTTTTTTTTAGCAAAACGCAATTGTGATGAAGGGGTGAAGGATTTAAACACATTACGCTGGAATTGAAAAAAGTTGTTTTTTCTATTATGCATGTGTCTCTCTGTAAGAAGTACTATATATATGATCTTGTAAAAGCTTGAAAAGTTTCTTGTTTGAGAGTCATAAAAAAGTTATGATAATGAATGAGTGCAATTATATATAATTGCACTCATTCATTATCACAACTAAAAATTTATCCCGACTAGAAATTTATATAAAAAATTTATCCAAAGATTCTAGCAGGTCCTAATCAGGTTGACCTTATTTCATTATTAGGTCCTGATCAGTCATGTAACGCAGCACAATAGTCGGGTCCTCATCCGGATAGCCTCATCAGATCCTGATGAGGATCTGATAAGGACCTTATCGGGACCTGATAATGAAATAAAATCAACTTGGCTAGGATCTGCTAAAACCACGGGACAATTTTCTAAGTCGGGAATTGTTCAAATGCTATTAATTTAGCATCACACATTCCAAAAGACGCAAAAAACATACATTTCAGGTCCAGAAGACTTCTTATAGAACTTGTGGACGTTTTCTTCTTACGAGTAACGCGTCCATTTCATGGCGTGACTGCGTATTAAAAACGAGGTCAATCATATTCAAACTTGACGAGAATTTTCTTAGGTGTACCTTATTCAGGATTACTTTACGTCAATCAAACCAGGTTTTTATAATATATAAGGTAAACCTGACAGCAAAGTCTAGTCTGGTAAGGAAGGACACTATTCTGTAATATTTTTTGTATTGATGATAATTATTATAAGTTAGAAACAGAAAGTCAGTTGAGAATTTTACTGCAACAATAAGCTAATCCAATAATGTAGCTGAATACGTGATATTGTATTGGTATGAAATGGATGAGCGACAGAACCTTCCATTTGTCCTAATACAGGATATTCCTAATAAATCCGGCTTTATTTTTTGAACTTTATCTTTAGAGTTCATTTTTACAAAATGGATTAGTCTATTGTTGTTATAAGATCTCCAATGATAGTACCAACTCTTTTGTCTGTGTGTAAATGTTTAGACATTTTCCAAATACATGATTCGATTCTTCTCCGGATCCAGATTAACGTAATGTTAAATAATTTAAAATACGTATAAATGTCTATGTCAAAGCGTTATTTTCAAAAAATCTTTTTGAAAAATTTAAAAGAAACATTATTGTAGAAAGATATATTCGAGATCTCATTTCACTTTTAAAATATGTGATTTATGTAGGATTACCAACTCTCAATCACACGAAAAAAGTACATTGATTGACGAAAAAAGTATACTTTTTCTAAAAAAAGAAAAAAAGGAAAAAAGATGAAGAACTAAAGATTTTCTTTTTTAAATGCCGGTATTCAATAAAATGACATTTTTAGAATGTAATTTTTATTGGCAACATCTATTCAGTTTTCATAAAGCTAACAGAATTGAGAAAATAAAATTGATTCATGTATTCTCAACGTATTTTGCAACTTTTAAATTTCTTCAACAAATACAATATACATATAACCGAATCTTTAACAAAACCTCTATATAATATGTAAATAAACATTTATATATTACATCCTGTCCAAAACGAACATAGCTTTAGTACAAGCTAAGCAAAACTTTTTTGTAAAGTAACAAATTTGAATATTGAATAACAATTTTTTAAATTTCGTCTCATTTTTCAAAAAAAAGAGTACAATAAGTGAAACGTAAGAATACGCTGTTTTCCGACCTCGAAAAAAGAGTATATGTATTTTTAAAAGAGTACGATTGGTAACCCTAGATTTATATGTAATAAACTTTGCATATAATCATATAAAAAAATTCATTATAAAATAAATATAATAATAATAAGGCTCAATAAATTCAAAAATTACAAAAAGGAATAGGGCTACGAGCCAAAGGTTAATTGTTATAAATTTAAATTAGTAAAATAAACAGAATGTAAAAATTTTAATGCCGGTTATAAACACACAAATAAATAAAAACAAACGTTTCAATCCCTATTGGATCATTATCAATGTTAAAGAACAATACAATGATAAAATTAAAATTAAAAATTATAATTCGCTCTCATCTCGCAGTATTAACGTTTCAGCTAACATTAGAAGCAAATATCGTACAATATGGTAACATTATGTTCTTCTGTTTCAGTATGTGATAACGTATAATCATAGTTTCTTAGAATGCGGATCTTAATAGATAGTCTATTGTTAGATAATGCGAAGAGAGTTAAAAAGTGATGTCATTATTCGTCTATTTACTGAGACAATAATATTTTTTTCATTATAAAATGTCGACAAAATTTTACCCCGGAGGAAACTTTCAACTAATCAGAAATTTTAGAAGTTTCTCAGCAGAGGAAAAGAAATATTATTCCTTTTGTTGAGGAAGAAAAGATATTGTAATATTTCAACATGCACAATTTATGATTACCCTAGAGGTTACGACAATGCCGAGGTACAGCGGCGCCGGCTTCCTTCTCCCTTGGTCTTCCTTCTGCCCTTCTCAAGCAAACCCGTTCGTCAGGAGTGAACGCTTCATCACGGCATTCACAGCGCGCGAGACGCAAAAGGGGTGGAACCCACATATCGCGCAACGAGTGGGGTGGCGTGGGAGTGGCCTCGCGTAAGCCAGAGTCCGCCTCCTTGCCGCTGATTTCAGTTTCGTCGCCAGGCGGCGCTGCTAAACACTGGGACTGGACTCGACCTTGCCGGTACCCTCACTCCGTATCGCGGCTCCGGCTCGTCGGAACCGTTCGGACTTACCTTGGCGCAGCAGAGTCGTCCCTCGTCTCGTGCGCATCAAGCTCCGTTCGTCGTCGCGTATCTTCACGGAGCACATGGTCCCGAAAGATCACTCTATACTGGACGTTCCTCCGGGAGTAAAGGAACAATTACGAATGGGTGATCCTTCATCAGTGTGATCAGTGGGGAATTGGGTTGAGTGCGGGTGCGTGAACGATTAATTTGGTGTTTTTTTGTCGTCGTAGTGCGCCGGGGCGATAATGGAGTATGGACCGCGAAGTACAAATTGGATTGTCGATGATACCGGTAACAATAACGGACTTCAGTGCTAATCTGTGAAGTGACATGAGTGTTACTTGCGTATGATTGTTCATGGAACTGTTGTCGACTTCGTTAAAGAATCGCGAGATGCACCCGTGAGAGCTCCTCCCTCGACTATTCTCGAAGGTGTCACGGAGGGATTCAACCCCCCACATTAGTGTCGTGATATCGGGAGTGTTGCGGGGGGAGTAACGTAAGAGAGGAGAGGACGAGGGTGGACGCGGTAGAGGTGGAAGGAAGAGAAGACTCGAGTCACAGCGGACGCCATCTCCGCGTTATCGGCAAGCGGACCCCTCGGGACTCCCCCCCGAGTAACATCGGTGTCGCGCACCCTCAGCGGGAACTACCCCGCGACAGCGGCCACACTGATGGGAGTGTATGAGGAGCGCGCCCCTCCTACCACCGGCATGCACTGGGTGAGTGTCATCCCTGTGTCCGCGTTGCTCATTGGCCGTCCCGCACCAGCTGGTACACCCCGCCGTCTGGGGCGGAAGCTCCTCGCTCAGATTGCGATTCTGTGATAGCATCTTCGCCAATATTTCTCCTAATCGAATTCAAGATGGTGTATCTGGGACTGCTTACTGGGATTTTTACGAGTACTTACCAACGAATTTTTAAGAGCTTGCTCTTTAATTGATAATTTTAATCAGTCCCAGTATCAGAATTCGTTTTGTGTAACGTGACGGGGTCACTTCTGATAATATGCATTGTGAGAATGTAGGAGACGTGAAATAAAATGACTTATTTACAATGCTGTAAAAAAGTCAGAAGAATAAAAACTTATTTAATAATCTGCTAACATTTTTGACGTGGCAAGGAAGGTCGAATCTAAAAATCAATGTTAATTAATTGCACTCTTTGTTAGAGTTTTATATACAAACGAGTAAGACTGTCTGTCTTTTTGCTATAAGTATATCTTTTTATCTTTCTGATATTTTTAAATATGCAAAGCTATGCAAATTATATATTATATCTCAAGTAATAATACAGTTTGTTTAAGAATGGAAGGCATTCATATATTTTTTATATAATTTGTAATTGAAAGTGATACATATATTGAATATTTTTTTTTATCAAACAATTATAAAAAATGGAAGAAAGATAGAAAGAAAAATTATTGCAATAAAAGAACTTTTTATTTTTACTCCAAATGTATATTTTCTAATCTTCATATAAATTGTTTGTGTCTCTAATTTTCTGAATTAATAACTTTTTTTTAAAGTTATATTTTTAAGCACGGATATAAATTCATTTGGGAAAATTTCGGGAAATAAATTTACTTAGTTCACAATTAGTTACAAAATGTCTTTGCATAGCACAGAAGTTTAAAATAGATTATTTAGATAGTTTCTGTAATAGTTGAACTACGTATACGTGTAGACAAATTTATGTCTAGAAACTTGTATAAGTAATGGCCACTCATAACCGTTGTAAAATTAATAAATTTCTCTCTTGTCTTATATTAACAGTTTTCTCTTCCTTTTATAATTCGCGTCGGCTATATTTATAACACAGTCTATGCATATTTTCTATTCTGTCACATAGTAGAATGCGCGCGCGACTGACATGAAATTATTTGTCAAGTGACCATTTTTACAGAATGATATATCTATATTGAAAGTCTACATACAATTTTTTAAATAGCGTCAATATTTAAAATTTGTGTTAATGTAGAATATTGTCCGAAAATATGATTAGCCGATCAAATCAGTTATTCGATGAAATTAGTTTTACGTAATAACTTTGCCGAAACCGAACTGCAGTCTTCGTTCCAAATGAGAATGTATGATTTTATACGAGCTCAGCTTAAAGAATGTAAATTTTGACAATACAGAATTTTTGCAGATACAAAAGCGATCTCTCTGACTTCGTGACTAGGGTTTCATCATTATTATCATCAATAGACTAAATCTTGGCCTCTTAGAAAAAGGTCATTCTATGTGGACTTTGACTTTCCTCTGGTTACAATCGTAATTTTCATAGAAAGTGGTCGTAAACATCTTGTAGTTCAATATTTACTCTGAGAGATCGATTTTTTTGTTAAACTTGTTTATTATTGCTGTTATTTAGAACAAGGACCGATGCTACCACGATTTTTTATTTTTTTTAATTACATTAGGATTAAATTCATATTCTTCGGGTGTTTTATTAATTCTGGGATTTACGTGTTTCAAATTGCATTCACAATTTTATTTTAAATGTACACTCATCGAACAGTTTATTCTACGGTTTACTACAAACTTTATGAACTTTGTCGTAACCGTCGCTGCAGTGTTGAAGAATCAGATTGATTTGAAAATATGACAGAACAGATCCAAGTTGAACTTAGCTCGCAGATACGATTCCGAAACATGCGACGGACGCTCTCCAAAGCAGACAATCATAAAATGTCTTGAATTTATTTCAAAAACACTTTGTAATTAATAAACTACAGAAACTGTCTAAACATAAAATGACAAACTTTGTAACATGATTTTAAACGATATGTCATCAATATTAGGAAATATTTCTATATTAATAATATTTCTATATTAATAGGTACCTACAAATCTTTTTACAATAAGTTGCGATTTAAGGGGTTATTACATGAAAAAAAGGATTATAAAAAAGTATATAAGTTATCGCAAAAACCAAAGGTATTTCTTTAGATAATTCAATTAACAATAGCTCAGTAAAATTTCAAAGCATTTGAATGAAATTTGTGATAGTTCTGGTGTCCACCGTTTTTGAAAACACTATTTTGAGAAAAATGCGATTAAAGTTCCGATCGCATGCTGAGAAGAGCTATACACTGTTTGACATCGACTGTATCTTTGTCAATATTCGGAATTTTATATTCGCATAAAAAATTTTACATTTTCAAGATCACAAACTACCGATTTAAGCAATAAAAAATTTTTCAATTTTTTTGAAAGTTTCAGGGTGTGATAACTCCTTAAACTAAAGTCTAAAAATTCATTTTTTGTCGATTATATTAATGTGAAATGTTAATTTACGAAACCATTGTGAGGAATGCAGCTAGTAAATACAAACGAATCTATTACTTTGAGAAGATTATAAATCTTCACGACTTTAATCATTAACTTTTTGAACCACAAAGATAACGGTTTATTTTGATATACTGAATGATTAGTGATTTATCATTAATTGGCACATATCTTCTAGTTGGGAAGTAAAATTTAAAGGCATAATTATATCGGAGATTAACATTTGGAAAGATTATCCAAAGGTCATGGTGCGTGTCATACTGTGTGATGAATACGCAAAATGACTGATCTTGTCTTTTGCGAAAATTTGATATGATTAATTAACCGCCAGCAGATACTCGCTAATTAATATTAATATTATCAAGCTTTTTGAGATTAAAGAATAAAATCGTAAATAGGGGAATAAGACTCGTATCGTAAGTAATTACATATTACATTTTTATATAGGCGTATTCTTAGAAATACCGAAATAAATGCTATATATCAAACTGACAAGCAATCAATAATCTTTTGAAAATTTTTCGTAGTATTAAAAATATCCCATACTTGATCGTTCTGAACACAAAACTGTGATTGCTAACAATTAAGTGAACCAATGTGAAAACTCGACAGACGATAATTATTCTGAAGTAACAGGATTACATGGCCAGGTGTGATAACATGGTCCACCTTCGAGTAACATTAATTTGCTCTTAATCAACCGGTCGAGGCCGTCGTAAGTAACGAGTACTGCTTGTAAACAAACGTAATTGATTGTCCCTTGTCGTCGATTAATTAAACTGACGCGTTAATCATGCATACACCAATGGATGAAGCGTAAAATAACATTGCTAAAGAAAATTAAGGTCTTTTCGTATAAATTTCAATATGAGTCATTAATAATAGTAATTAATGTTCAATAAGAAAAATATCCAAACAAACACATTTATATAAAAAATACTTATATTTCTTTTCGAAAATCTCCACGAATTATTCATTTCTTTTAAATTAAGTATTATTAATTATATATGCTTTATATTATAATATTCCATTGGAACAGTTAAATGGAATTTTAAAGCCTAAATTAAAGTTATATAAATATATTTGTGTGTTTTAAAATTTAAATTTGATTTTCAGATGTAAAGCGAAAGTACACAACAAAAACGATATTCAAAGGCTGTTTGTAGTGAATATTATTATTTGTTGTTAGGAATATTTTCGGCCTAATTCCATCTTAATGAAAATACATTAATGTAGAAAATTATAATATAAAGTTCCATATTATATGTTTTAGATTTTTTATGATACTCTTTTTTTAAAAAAAATTTTACAGTGTAAATAAATTCATATTATAGTATTACGCAAATAAATCAATAGATTTATTTATATCTATTAAACTTGCATAAACAAAATTAAATTAATAAGTACAACTAATATAGATTTAAATTAGTTGAATGAATTTATCCATTTTATTAATCATTAATCAAGACCGAAACATGAGAGTTGCAAGGACTGGTTTTGAATTTACATTATGCATAAGTTATATCTCGATTTAAATATAGTTTTTGTTCGATATATGTAACTTAAGTAGAAATAGATCCCTTTTAAACTTGATATTTAAGATTTAAAGATCTTAACATTATATCTGTTTGGTATAATAATAAATGTGTTTTGTGAGCTTCAAAGAGAGAGAAAGAGAAAAACGGATAGGCGTATTTTGTACATATACCATATGTTCATTGAACATTTCGCAGACGCTAACAAAGCGTCGCAGATCGGAAGGACTAATTTCCGTCTTCCGGGAAAGCGCATCGTATTTATTAGCGATATCGTTCGATTTGGCGTCGGTTAGTCTCATAGCGCGAACGTTGCGATTTTTCCGCGGATGTCCGCTTGCAACACCAGGGGAGAAAGTGAGAGGGGACGATCAATGTAGCTTCGATGATATAAAAGGCCATCTTGCTGCGAACGTGTCTGGTTACGATAACGCGCGCGTTTGTGACAAGTGTAATTTATTATACGCGCCGAGATTATATCCTGTTATATCCGTCACCCTTTCTTACCCCTCCTACCCTCCCTGCGAGCCTACCGTCATGGTAGTCGTCGTCGCGGCCAAACGCTCGACATTTAACTTTGCACTCGAAACTTCAACCTGGTCGGCTTCATGCTGCACTTGTTGTTGACGTTATCATTTATTTCAGAAATGGATATACGGGGTGTCGCAGAGAGAAATGTTTCGGTCATTCGACGACGCACTCAACGAATGTCAAAAATTCTTCACGTTATCATTGATTCATTTCTCATTTGACAGACTTATTTTTTTCATTCCCAATATTACGTAACTTCGTTATTCTTTTAGTTTAAAGAGTGGAAGGTTGTTTTTCGACCATCACTCTTAAATCTTGGTGCAGGTGATTATTCAAATTGCATAACGAATCATTATCATCTTC